CAACCAGTCCATCCTAAAGGAGATCAGTCCTGGGTGTTCATTGGAAGGACTGATGCTGAAGCTGAAACTCCAGTACTTTGGCCACCTCATGTCAAGAGCTGACTCATTGGAAAAGACCCTGATGCTGGGAGGGATTGGGGGCAGGAGGAGAAGGGGATGACAGAGGATGAGATAGCTGGATGGCATCACCGATTCGATGGGCATGGGTTTGAGTAAACTCTGGGAGTTTGTGATGGACAGGGAGGCCTGGCGTGCTTCAATTCATGGGGTCGCATAGAGTCAGACACGACTGAGAAACTGAACTGAATAAATACATGAAAAGATGCTCAATGTCACTCATAATTCAGTTCAGTTTTCTCATCTCATCAAAACTACATATGACCCAGCAATCGTACTACTGGGCACATACCCTGAGAAAACCAAAACTGAGACATATGTACCCCAATATCCACTGCAGCACCATTTACAATAGCTAAGATAGGGAAGCAACCTAGATGCCCATCAATAGATGAACATATAAAAAAGATGTGGTACATATATACAATGAAATATTACTGTCATAAAAAGGAATGCATTTGAGTCAGTTCTAATGAGATGGATGAACCTAGAGCCTAATATACAGAGTGAAGTAAGTCAGAAGGAGAAAAACAAGTATCATATATTAATAATACATATACATGGAACCTAGAAAAATGGTACTGATGAATCTATTTGCAGGGCAGCAATGTAGACACAGACATAGAGAACAAACTTGTGGACACAGTAGGGGAAGGAGAAGCTGGGAGAAATTTAGAGAGTAGCATGGAATCATATACATTACCATACATAAAACAGATAGCCAGTGGGAATTTTCTGTTTGATGCAGGGAGCTCAAACTAATGCTCTGTGGCAACATAGAGGGGATCAGGTGGGAGGTGAGAGGGGGGTTCAGGAGGAAGGAGACGTATGTATAACTATGACTGATTGATGTATGGTGGAAACCAACACAATATTATAACCTAGTTATCCTCCAATTAAAAATAAATAAAATTTAAAATATTACTGGTTCATGTGACAACTTTTTGTTTTTTCATGTTCTACAAAGAGTACCATGACTTTCAAGAATTCTGTCTACAGAGTTTAAGGATAAAGATCACAAGATAGCAGGTTAGATTTGGTATCATTCTTTAACATAAGAAAGATCTCTATACCTGAGAAGGCATTCATTTTACTTGGATTGTTCAGCGTAAGAATGCCAATGCCATTGTTTTCCTTCTGAAGGTCAACGGATCCACCAGGAAACTGTTCAAGTTTTTTTTTCACTTCTTCTTCATGGAAGCCATGAGAAGTATTATAAAGTGACAATCCTATCTGATGCAGCAATTTTGTCTTTACAGGGTTAGGCGATGTCTTCAAAAGACTTCTTGCCATTTCTGGAAAAAAGAGAGAAGTATGCAGTAGTCTAGCTAAACAGACACTTTTCTAATATAATACATTAACAGGCTTTAGCGAGAGACCTTTCTGTTTACTGGAAGGACTTCCCTACTTCTCAAAGCACTCTTAAGTACAAGATTGCTTCCCTTCTCCCAGTTTCTCAAACCAAAAAATTTACAAAGTACATTATTTCAGTATATCAGTGGGAGATGATGACAGGGCATTTACTGAGATCCAACGCACTAGGAGGGTTTAGAAAACTGTTGCTATTCTGTAGTGAGCACCATCTCCTGCCTTCAGGGAGTCTTCTTCATGATGGCAGTTCTTCTAACTCTAAATCTAAGAAAAAATTCAGTCCAAAAGTCCCTTTGGGAACAACCTCTAGGCAGAAATGCAACAGAGCAGTATTCTTGGTATTAACCTTACCTTATGTAATGCTTTCACAGAAAAAGCTGGAAGGAGTCCTGAGGAAAATGGGGAAAGAAATAGGAACACATGTGTAAGGTTTCTGCATCCCCCGAAGTTCTGTCAACTCTTCTCATTTTATATATCTCATCTCCAGATAACTGCCTATTTGTTGCAACAACATGAAACTATTTCCACTGGTACTGCTGCCACTTTGGATTTTCTCTCTTCTGATTTCCCTTCTTTCCTCCTTTTTGTCTCTACTGCCTTCTCTCTCACGCACCCCTCTCTGCCTCTCAGCTTATGTGGGACATGGAACCAGGGGCTGCCTTTATCTTGGGAAAGCATTTGAAGAAGATTAAAGCTGTAGGGCTCAGGGTTCCTTAGGCCTGCTTCTAGTCTAGGAAAAATAAGCTCTCAAGGTCACTGGCCAGATCAGTTCACAAAACTGAGAGGCCTACACAGAGAGAGCCAAACACAACATGACCAAGCTGGCTTTTGCCTACAATGCGCTCTCTGCATGTTTCGCCCCTAATGGTAAGTCATATACACAAGAGACCATTAAACGGAAAATTCATTTCAGGGTGAGGTCTTTTCCATGTTCACCATGACTTTAATGTAAGAGAACTACGCCGAAGAAACTTGATGAGAACTTAGATGGCTATTTAAAAAAAGAAAAAAGTTGCCTATGTTTTCCATAGTATTCTGTTTAGGGAAAATAGTTAAACTAGAAAATAAGAACGAGTAAGACTTGTAAAACATTAGCATTTTTAATTATTATAAAGGGATTATAGAATCAATAAACAACATATCTTTTCTCATTGTAAGGAGTCTGTCTGTTTTGTCTTCACAAACATCCCCCACCACCACCACCTCCAATGAGGCTTCCCAGGTGGCGCCAGTGGTAAAGGAATCCACCTGCCAATGCAGGAGATTAAGAGATGCAGGGTTGGGAAGATCCCTTGGAGAAGGAATGGCAACCCACTCCAGTATTCTTGTCTGGAGAATCCCATGGACAGAGGAGCCTGCTGGGATACAGTCCATAGTGTTGTAAAGAGTCAGACACGACTGAAGTGACTTAGCATGGCACCCCGCTCCAATATCCAAAACAAGGGCAATCAGTATAGACATCATCAGATCTGTACCTCTTTACACTTAAATCATTACCAAATTTAAACATTAGGTCACTAATATTTTTGCTTCATTGGACATCTTTGATATGCTGATTTTTCCATGGAAACCTCATAATAAAAACCTCATGGATCCTTTTCTCTATTGATTCCATTTTTTTTTTTTTGCCTCCCAAACTCCTGTCCTCCCTCCACTAACTCTCCCTTCTTTCCTCTCCTCATATCTCCTTGTCTGTGGCAGTAGTACCTGAGAAACTCAAGGACATTGCTAAGCCTCTCAAGTTTGCTGACCCCAAGATTAGGGGTCCAATCCTTGACACTGGATAAGAGCCTATTATGAATACTTTCTGAAGAATGGCAAGGCAACCCACTCCAGTATCTTGCCTGGAGAATCCCCATGGACAAAGGAGTCTGACAGGCTACAGTCCTTGGGGTTGCAGAGAATTGGACACGACTGAACAACTTACCACTTATCACATGGATCAGTTCAGTTCAGTCGCTCAGTCATGTCTGACTCTTCACAACCCCATGGACTGTAGCCTGTCAGGGTTGCTAACCCGTCCTGCTGGTGCGTTACTGCCCTACCACAGCAGATTCAGCCCAGCTGAACGAGCTTACAACCACGCCATCGGAAAGTGGAAAGAGAAGAGAGCAGACATCAAAGGTTTCACTCTCTCCATGTTTTCTAACTTTTTCAAAGGCAAACAAGCTCCCCTCCCCACACACAGACTAAGCTCTCAGTTCTCTTAGAAGCTGTAACCTGTTTCGTCAGGTGCTGGAAATATCCAGAAAGTAAACACAAACACATACTGAGCAAGCAAACAATAAGCACAAGGCAGGGAGTAAACAACAAAAAATCAGAACTATTCCACTTCAGACTGTCAGCATATGACCTGTTTTCCGCATCTGAATTTGGTTTTAGGCTGTCATTAATTAACACTTCACTTCCCTGGTGGCTCAGACGGTAAAGGTCTGCCTACAATGCAGGAGACCCAGGTTTGACCCCTGGGTTGGGAAGATCCTCTGGAGAAGGAAATGGCAACCCACTCCAGTATTCTTCCTGGAAAATCCCACGGACGGAGAAGCGTGGAAGGCTACAGTCCATGGGGTCGCAAAGAGTCAGACACAACTGAGCGACTTCACTTGATCACGTCTCTCTCTCACCGACGCCGTTCATCCTGAGGGTACCCCTGGATCCTGCTGAGGCTGGACCCCGGCAACTTTCCTTCTTTCTTAATTAATCTACCTTTCAAGTTTTCACTACTTGAGTCGTACACTACCATGTATGTGGTGAGTATGCCACACATACCTTTTTTCCTCCCGGCCAAAATGAAATTAATATTTTAATTTCATATCCTTCAGGTGTTCTATTCATTCCAACCCTCTGGGTATGTGATTCCCCATTACACTTTTTTCTTCCTCAAAGCAACTCCAAATCAACTCCTCTAATACTCTCAACTACACAAAATACTCTGTCTGCTCTCACAATGCTTAGATCCTTCCTTAACCCTCACTCACACTTTGCTGTAACTACTCCTTATCTTCCCACTAGATTTGGCTGCAAGAGGACATTTGCAATGCCAGGTACAGTACTTGACAAATAATAACTGCCAATAACAATTTGGTACACAAGGCTTGAGAATCCACAACACGAGACAAGGCTAAAGAATCTGTCCACAAGTCAATTCTACCCACCCTGTTCTTAATCTCACCACTCACCCTGTTTCAGTTCCACTCTTCTCTGCAAGCTGGTCTCTCTTCTTGGAGTGCTGATCACTGCCAACTCATCAGTTACCTAAGATCTACTTATCTTTAAATAAGGTCAGACCAATAAAATATCAAGAAAAGATCGGCTGTTTTATTACTATGCTCCTCCCTCCCCCAGCTGATTTCACAATTATATGTATGTGTGCAGCATTAAAAGAATTGTGGAGGCTCAAAAAGAATACTAAAATGAAAGAACATTTACCAAAAACGAGCTATTCATTTTTGTTGTTGAAAAGCTGCCTGCATGAAATGAATGATGCAAATTTTACTTAAGCAAGATAACTAATATGGACAGTGAGGACAATTATAGAGTTCCCAGAGAACATTACCAACTGTTGAAATCAATTTCTAGGCACAAAATTAATTTATAAAGAGTTCCATTTAATTGGTCTAAAAATGTTACTTATATAAATTATCAGAAATATAAGAGCAATTCACACGAATGCTTTTGTGGTTCATGTGATAGTTTAAATTTGTTAGTCTAATTGAAACAGGTATGTCTTGAGTCATCAGCACTGAATATACTTTTATTCCACATGAGTTTACTAGTTAGATATTCACATTATCTCTGCTGCAAATCTGTCAGAAAAAAAATTGCTTGAGATGATGGCTGACTTTGTCTAATGAATCATTAAGTTTCTGTGAGTAACTTAAACATAAATATTGGGAACAAATAATTCAGATAGATGAAAATGGGATAAGAGTTTTTAGGTGCAACAATTATATTTTACAATACATGTACTTAAAAATGGCATACTGAAATCTTTTGGGGTTACTTAAAATGTCAGAGTTTCACTAAGATAAATTACATGATTGACTAGAATTGTTTTTATCATACACACTAATTTCTCACCTACATATGTCTTTTTTAAATGCTTCTGTTTCATCCTTTGTCTCTGCTTTTAATAGGCTGTCTAGACTGGTCATAGATTTTCTTCCAAGGAGCAATCATCTTTTAATTTCATGGCTGCAGTCACCATCTACAGTGACTTTGGAGCCCAAAAAAATAAAGTCTCTCACTGTTTCCATTGTTTCCCCATCTATTTGCCATGAAGTGATGGGACTGGATGCTATGATCTTAGTTTTTTGAATGCTGAGTTTTAAGCCAGCCTTTTCCCTCTCCTCTTTCACTTTCATCAAGAGGCTCTTTAGTTCTTCCTTGCTTTCTGCCATAAGTGTGGTGTCATCTGCATAAATGAGGTTACTGATATTCCTCCCAAAAATCTTGATTCTAGCTTGTGCTTCATCCAGCGCAGCATTTCTCATGATGTACTCTGCAAATAAGTTAAATAAGCAGGCTGACAATATACAGCCATGGTTTTAAAGATGTGGTCACAGAAATGACCAAATAGACTTGTCGATTACATTAAATTGAACCTTCATCTTTAATTAGTACTATTTTTAAGTCTTCTGTCATTTATAGACAGTTATTGTTTATTCTCTGAGGCTTCGGCAAATGTGTTTATCTTCAAAGAAATTCATGTAAAAGATCCTGACAAATATTCTAGGATGAAATTGTTAGATAATTTTAAAATACTGCACAGAACTGGATGTAAAGGACCCTTTTTCCCCCCTCTCCTTTAAGAAAATGTATCTTTACAACAAGGGTTAAAACATTTATTTTTTTTTCCTCCCTTCCTGATCCCTCCAGAATTTAAAAACCCAAGTATTTTTTTTCATGACAATATGTATATTTGCATAAATTCACTGGGAATCTGTTCTTGTCATAACAAGACACCACTGGAAATACTGGCTATATCACCATGGCTTTGGCTGTATTATCATATTCAAGAAAGGTGTACATAGACTCAGATATGACCAGACAGCTTTGTGGACCTACTCAAGAAAAATAAATAAATTGGCTGGGTACCTTGTTTACAAGGTTCAAGCAAAACAATTTTGAAAAAGAACTTACATGATCAGTCACTATTCTCATTTCATTTATGTAAATAATCAAACCAAGTTCAATACCAACAAGTTAGTTTTACTATGATTATCTATAATAAAAGGATAATCATGGAGAAGGAAATCATGTTTTCACTTACACAGATATTAAATTCTAGTCCTACCAGTGATCTTCAAGGTTTTGTTACATACCTATATGCTGGACTGGATCCCAAATTCTTCTGCTGTTGTTGTTCAGACGTGTCTGACTCTTTGCGACCCCATGTACTGCAGCACGCCAGGCTTCTCTGTCCTTCACTATCTCCCAGAGTTTGCTTAAACTCATGTCCATTGAGTCAGTGATGGAACCCAACCATCTCAACCTCTGTTGCCCCATTCTCATCCTGTCCTCAGTCTTTCCTAGAATCAGTGTCTTTTCCAATGAGCCAGCTCTTGGGATCAGGTGGCCAAAGTAATTTTGGTCAAATATTTTTACTATCTTTAAATGTCTGACTACTCCTCTTCAAACTAATGTTTTCAATTTTCTTCCACTTTTCTGGTTTGAAATCAGTAAGAAAAAAGACTGCTCTTGAATTTCCTTGGAACGGTCTATAGCAGGTCCTCCTCACGACCAAACTTCAGGGACTTGAAACTTGAGTACACATCTCACAGCTAAAGAAGACTTCACCTGACACGTGGTGCTATAAAAACACTGGAAACATCCAAATCAAACTGACTAGAAAGAGAAGCAGCTAATAACTTAGGCAGACAGCTTTCCAAAGATGACCTGACCAGACTTGTATACCCTTTTGGTCACTGTTGCTTTTCTCTTTCTCTCTTTCACGGAAAGACAATACCCTTATTGGTACTTCTCAAATTATTGCAAAAGGGGACAACCTCTTCTTTTGATTATGGTCTTTCAGAATCTCCATGACAAATTAAAAAAAAAAAAAAAGGCAAGTGAAAAGATTAAAGAGTTAGAAGGTTCAGAATTCACTTAAGTTTTTCCTTGTCTGGACTATTAACTATTTCTGGATTCTTATCTAGAGTCATGGTTTCTGAATTTGCAACCTTATAGCCTGTATTACTGGGTAATATATTTGGTTCTGAACAGTTCTTTCAAAATAACAATACTATTTTAATGGCCTTCCCAGGTGGTGTTAGTAGTAAAGAACCTGCCAGTGAAGGAGATGTAAGAGATGTGGGTTAGATCCCTGGGTCGGGAAGACCCCCCCGGAGGAGGGCATGGCAACCCACTCCAGTGTTCTTGTCAGGAGAATCCTATAGACAGAAGAACCTGCCAGGCTACAGTCCATAGAGTCACAAAGAGTCAAAGACAACTCAAACGAATTAGTACGCATGCATGGTCACCCTGAGTGGGAACTTTCAGGAAGCACACCTGACACCAGATTTGCCTCAGTGGGAAGAGCCTTTTTTCCCTTGGGTTCGAGTAAATGTCAGAGAAAACATGATTAGAGAAGCAGAAACTCAAGTGCATAGAAGAATCAGAGAGAAAGACCACTTGCAACAGGGTCACCTGACACTCCCCCTTCTCCAACATGATTTCTTTTACTGGCTACTCTCAGGCTTAAGGTCCTAGTTTAGAACCATCATACAATTTGGTTCTAAACTTTTATTTATAATTCTGCTTTGTGTAACTATTTTAAGTTCTGTATTTTGCTGCCTGTTAAATCTTTGTAAAACCAGTCTGTCCAACAAGTTGATACTTGCTCCACATTTCAAAATGATCAGAACAATCTCTAGTGCTTAAGCTCTCAAGAAGATTAGACCCCAATTTCTCCCTTCTACTCCTCCTTAGGTTTCCTCAGTAGGTTTCCAATCGGTGCACTTTCCTCTCCAAGGTGGGGCGCAAAGTGGACCAAGAAGTCCTTCTTGGCACCAAGGAATAAAGGCCACTGAAACTGGGAAACCTGCCTCTTCATCAGCGATGCTTTCAGAGAAAAGTACAAAACGTCAAACTGAATAAAGAAAACATCATTTTAAATAGTAGGAAGGACACATTGCCAAAGGAGGCATCAATTACTCCTTGTTAATTACATACTCCAACAAGAGAGCATCATTTACAGACCCACTAGAAGGGGACATTTCCTGTGTACCTAGCTACTTAGCCTATGAGAAACCATCACCACCTGAATTCTCACCTCAACCCAGGACTTTCTTCAAAGCTACTCCTGCCAACTTCCTCCTTCTTCTCTTTAACATAATGGGCGTTTTCTTTGTTGAACTTATCTATGGCCTTTGCTACAGTTCGCTCGTCCCAAATCCAAATCCTTGGCTACTCCCAAGTAAGTTCACTTTGCTGGTGAAAGAACTGGCTGTTTTATTTTTTATCGTGAAAGCTTCATGCCTTCCACTTTATTTTGCATTTCTCCAAAAGGAGGCTGCCCACTTCATGGCAGTGTGAACTTAAATGTATCACCTAAATTATCTTCTTCCGTCTTCATTATTTTTTTTTTTTAAACACTACTGAGAAAGATTGAGGGCAAGAAGAGAAGGCGGCGACAGAGGATGAGATAGTTAGATAGCATCACAAACTCAAATGGACATGAAATTGTGCAAACGCAGAGAGATACTGAAGGACCGGGAAGCCCGGTGTGCTGCAGTTCACGGGGTCCCAGAGAGTCCAACACGACTTAGCCACTGAACAACAACAACTGAGTACAGGAATTGGAAAGTGTTCGGCATTTAAATGAAAATTAAATAAATAAATTCAGCACTGAAATCACGCGTCTCTATCCTTTTGAAAATGTCAACATCAGCTATTTCTTCACCTTCACAGGAAAGTGACACTGACCTTTCCCCACCACCTTCGCTCACCTGACAAAAGGCTCTGCGTCGCTCTGCACAGCGTCCCTCTGCCCAGCACAGGGAAGTGGGCCTGCGGCCCGGCCTCACACGGACCGCGCCGAACCCCGCGGGTCGCCGTCTGGAATTCCAGTGAAGAAGCGCTAAAGTCCATCACACAGCGACTGCTAGGGTTCGCCAAGACATGCTCCTTAAAGTGCAGCCCCGGCAGCCAGACCGCAGCCACACGGTCCTGAAGGCCACACGGTCCCGAAGTCCACACGGTCCTGATGGCCACAGGGTCCTGAAGGCCGCACTGGAGACGACATCGCCTTCCGCCCCGTCGCGCCCCTCTTCCGCCCCAACGTGCCCTTCTTCCGCTCCGCCCGGCTCCCCTTCCGCTTTCCCGCCCCGCCCCCACCGCGCTGGCCCCCATTCCTCTGGCCAGTGGCGAACCGGTTCGTGTCTTAACGTGTCTGCCCCTTGTCTGGGCGCCTGGATTTTCCGCTCCTGGGAGGGCACCCCAGACCTAGGAGCCCCGCTCTCTACCAGGGGCCCGCAGGTGCTCGTGTAGTAAGCGAGCTCGGAAAGCCGGTCCCTGGTCCCGAGCTTCGCTACGCAGCGTCCCGAAGCTCTGAAATCCTGCAGTCCTGCTTTTTTTCAGGCTTCCATGTAAACGTGGAGGAGAAGGAACACAGTTCAGAATTTCCAAAGGGGAGGGGAGAGAAGTTACCAAGGCTGTACCTTCTTAAACATCTCTTCTGCGTTCTTGAGCAGAAAGAGGTTTTTTGTTGATTTGTTAAAGACTGTCTAGGTTGGTCATAGTTTTTCTTCCAAGGAGCAAGCGTCTTTTCATTTCATGGCTGCAGTCACCACCTGCAGTGATTTTGGAGCCCCCAAAAATAGTCTCTCACTGTTTCCATTGTTTCCCCATCTATTTGCCATGAAATGATGGGATCAGATGCCATGATCTTAGTGTTCTGAATGTTGAGCTTTAAGCCAACTTTTTTACTCTCCTCTTCTACTTTCATCAAGAGGCCCTTTAGTTCTTCTTCACTTTCTGCCATAAGTGTGGTGTCATCTATGTATATAAGGTTATTGATATTCCTCCTGGCAATCTTGATTCCAGCTTGTGCTTCATCCAGCCCAGCATTTCACATGATATATTCTGCATATAAGTTAAATAAGCAGGGTGACAATATACAACCTTGACAAACCTTTTTCCCAATTTGGATCCAGTCTGTTGTTTGTTCCATACCCAGTTCTAACTGTTGCTTCTTGACCTGCTTACAGATTTCTGAGGAGGCAAGTCAGGTGGTCTGGTATTCCCATATCTTTCAGAATTTTCCACAGTTTTTTGTGATCCCATAGTCAAAGGCTTTGGCATAATCAATAAAGCAGAAGTAGATGTTTTTCTGGAACTCTCTTGCTTTTTCAATGATCCAACAGATGTTGGCAATTTGGTCTCTGGTTCCTCTGCCTTTTCTAAATCCAACTTGAACATCTGGAAGTACATGGTTCACATACTGTTGAAGACTGGCTTGGAGAATTTTGAGCTTTACTTTACTAGCGTGTGAGAGAGTGCAATTGTGCAATAGTTTAAACATTCTTTGGCATTGCCTTTCTTTGGAATTGGGATGAAAACTGAACTTTTCCAGTCCTGTGGCCACTGCTGAGTTTTCCAAATTTGCTGGCATATTGGGAGCAGTACTTTCACAGCATCATCTTTAAGGATTTGAAATAGCTCAACTGGAATTCCATCACCTCCACTAGCTTTGTTTGTAGTGATGCTCCCTAAGGCCCACTTGACTTCACATTCTGGGATGTCTGCCTCTAGATGAGTAATCACACCATCATGGTTATCTGGGTCATTAAGGTCTTTTTTGTATAGTTCTTCTGTGTATTCTTGCCACCTCTTCTTAAAATCTGCTACTTCTGTTGGATCCATACCATTTCTGTCCTTTATTGTGCCCATCTTTGCATGAAATGTTTCCTTGGTATCTCTAATTTTCTTGAAGCAATCTCTAGTCTTTCCCATTCTATTGTTTTTCTCTATTTCTTTGCATTGATCACTGAGGAAGGCTTTCTTATCTCTCCGAGCTCTTCTCTGGAACTCTGCATTCAAGTGGGGATATCTTTCCTTTTCTCTATTGTCTTTCACTTCTCTTTTTTCCTCAGCTATTTGTAAGGCCTCCTCAGAAAACCCTTTTGGCTTTTTGCATTTCTTTTTCTTGGAGGTGGTCTTGATCCCTGCCTCCTGTACAATGTCACAAACCTCTGTCTATAGTTCTTCAGGCACTCTATCAGATCTAATCCCTTGAATCTCTTTGTCACTTCCACTGTATAATCATAAGGGATTTAAGTCATCCCTAAATGAAGTGATAGAGAAATTAATTAGCTTGATTGTGGTAATCATATCACAATGTATACATATATCAAAGCATCACGTTATATACTTTAAGTATATAGAATTTTGTTTGTCAATTATATTTCCACAAATCTGGGGAGAGAGAAGGAAGTGGGGTAATATTGAATTATTACTGTTGAATTTGTGTTTTTCTAAGTCTATTTCTCCCTTCAGTTTTGTGAATTTTTCCTGCATTTTTTGGCTCTAATTTTAGATAAACATGGTTACAAATGTTTTATCCTCCTAAGAATGACACTGTTACCATTTTAAAAAATCTCTCTTTGTCTCTTGTAATATTTTTTCTGAAAGTCCAATTTGCGTTATATTAGAATAGGCATTCCAGGTTTCTTGTTGTTATTGCTTACATGATACATATTTTTCATCTTTTTACTTTCAACTTATTTGCATCCATAAGTCTAAATTTGTCTGTTCTAGCAGCATATACTTGGTTGTTGCTTTTTTAATCAGTGTCACAATCTCTGCCTTTTATTGGATTGTTTAATTCACTCACATTTAATGCTATTATTGATATAGTTGATTTATCTTTGTCATTTTACCTTTTGTTTTCTGTCTCATGTCTTTTTTTTTCTATATTTTTCCTTCACTTCTTAGTCTTACATTAATAAATGTTTTCTCTTGTCACATTTTCTTCCCTTTACAATTTTGTAATTATTTGGGGATTATTTTCTTAATGGCCATTCTCGGATTTGCCATATGCATCTTACCTTATCAGAGTCTTCTTCAGACTTATAGTAACTTCATTCTTATAATGTATAGAAATGTTATTCCTATGTAGTTCTTTTTCTCTGCCTTTTGGTTCCATAATTATTACATATTTCATCTACAAATGTTACACAACCCTAGTACATTGTTATAAATGTTAATTTATATAGTTGTATATCTTTTAAAGAAACTGAGAGAAGAACAAATATATACTTATAGCACTTATTATGTAAACTGTGTTTATCATTTATGGCTGTCTTCAAAATTTGAGCCTTATTCCAGTATGGCTTTGCTCCCACCTATCTCCTCTGTGCTATCATTGGTAAATGTTACATTTCTATATGTTATAGACCTACTTATATACATGTTGTTTTACATAGTTGCTTTTTAAGTCAACTAAGAGAAGAAAGGAGAAGCAATACAGATTCAATGTTTTTTTCATTACCTAATTATCCTTACCAGTGTCTTTTTCTTTTTTTTATATATGATTTCTAACTACTGTCTGAGGTAACTTGTTTTCAGCCTGAAGTTCTCCTAGTATTTCATGTTAGTTGATGAACTTCCAATGAATCTTTTTCAGTTTTTGTTAATCTGACATTGTGTTTATTAGAGCTCCATTGTGCTGCCTTCAAATTTTTCCCTTTAGACAAAAATATCTTTGAACATTTAACTGTCATGTTTCTGGGTAATCTCTCTTTGTGTTTTTCCAACTTGCAGTTTGTTGAGCCTCCTGGATAATTTTTTAATGAAATATAATAAATTGTTATGATTTCTTTGAATACATTTTTGTAGTTTTGTTTGCTTGCTTCTTTCTCTCCTTTCTCTGCTCTGGTAATCCTATATGTTGGTGAGCTCAGTGTTGCTATGCATTTCTCTTAGGCTCTGTTCATTTTTCCTTCATTCTTCTTGTCCCCTCTGTTTTTTCAGATTGCATAATCTCTGTCAACCTTTATTTTTATTTGCTGCTTTTTTCTTCAGCCAGTTCAATTCTGCATTTGAGCCCTGTAGTGATTTTTCTTTCTTGTGGTTATTGTATTTTCAATTTTAGAATTTCTTTCTTTTTTTGTAATTTCTTTCTCATTTTAGATATTCTCTCTTTGATGAGACATCATAATACTGTACCTTCCTTTAATTCCTTAGGCATGATGATGTCCTTTGATTCTTTGAAGGTATTTGTGATAGTTGTTTTGAAGTCTTTGCAGTGGTCAACATTTGCTGCTGCTGCTGCTAAGTCACTTCAGTCGTGTCTGACTCTGTGTGACCCCATAGACGGCAGCCCACCAGGCTCCCCCGTCCCTGGGATTCTCCAGGCAAGAGCACTGGAGTTGGTTGCATTTCCTTCTCCAATGTATGAAAGCGAAAAGTGAAAGTGAAGTTGCTCCGTCGTGTCCGACTCTTAGCAACCCCATGGACTGCAGCCTATCAGGCTCCTCTGTCCATGGGATTTTCCAGGCAAGAACACTGGAGTGGGCTGCCATTGCCTTCTCCAGGTCAACATTTGGGCCCCCTCAAACAAAGGTTCTATTGTCTGCTTTATAAAAAAAATGTATGTGTCACACTTTACATTTTCTTTGCATGTCTCATTATTTTAAAATTTACATTTTAGTCTTAAATTCTATTTATTTATTTATTTTTGGCAGCATGGTGTGGCATGTGGGACTTTAGTTCCCTGACCAAGGATCAAACCTGTGCCCCTGCATTGGAAGAGTAGAGTCTTAACCACTGGACTGCCAGGGAAGTCCCTAACTTTACATTTTAGACAATGTACTGTAGCGACTCTGCATGTGATTCACTCCCACCCATTTGGTGCTTTTCATTGTTTGCCTGTTTATTTCTTTAGCTACCGGTGCTACTATTTTAGTTTGGAGACTCTGATATTGTCTGGAGACAGTACTGCACACAGTTCCTAGGACAATAGTGGTTTTAGCAGGGCTCTCTTTTGATTTTCTTTCCCTGATCACACTCAGATGTTAGACTCCTTTAATTTCTGGCTGATCTGCGGTATTTTTCTATAATGCCCTTGGGTATAAATTGCTCCACAGTTTGATGATGTTAAATCCAGGCCTCATTACAGGGCTGATGTATGAAGCCAGTGTATGAAGATTGCTCTGACCCCAGGAGTGATTTCCTTAGGTAACTTTCCCCCTGTTTCCCTCTAACAAACTTGCTGGCCAGTCTTTTAGCTTGTCATTCTCACTCCCGACAAACAGC